GTCCAAAACGGATATAGTTTAATTTTCTACAAGCTTAACTCACATGGGTTTTGATCATATTATTTTATTAATACAAACTTAAACTAATTATACTAATAATTTAGTTTTTGTTTGAAAAAGTATACTAATTAATAATAATAATTTAATATTAAATGATTTTTTTTCAGAAGAAGTTGGAATGAGACAACCTTTTTCTTTTTCCTCTTCTCCTAGCCACCAAGATAAACTTTGAACACTCCTTAGAATTAGACGACATGGCTTGTGGGCATTCATCATAATCCCAACCCATTTGATACAGAAAAATCAGTAGGCAGGTCCCACTTTATACCAACCCAGAAGTCATATTAGATAAGTCCTCTTCCTAGTTCTAGCTCTACTTTTTGAGGTGGTTTCATTTTATTTTATTTTATTGGTTATATTTGATAGTGCAACTTTGGTGCACCTTATATATCTTTCTGAATGCTTCCCAAATAACCAACGGTGGGTATTGGCCTATTGAGTTTGTTCACATTGTCTTTCGTGTGTAGAAACATTATGGAAAAGTTGAAATTGGAAAGTAAATAACCATTGAGGAATGGACTTTAATTTTCATCTTATCTTTGGGGCTAAAAGCGGGTTCTTTTCTTTCTTTGTACTAGATTGTTGATCTTCTTTCACACAAACCCCCCAAGTTTATGAAGGAATCACGTGTACTCCTTTCCCTTGTATGCCAAATGTTCCTACATGAAACATAAAAAAGCTAACAAAACTACAACATTTCTCAATCATCTTCCATTTCATGTATATTTCACCCATAGAATGTGATACAATGACAAGTTTTGGAACGTGTATATAATATAAAATGTTTGATTATTTTCTGATACACAGATTATATGTTTGATTAACCTATTTACTGTACAAAGAAAACAAATAGTACAATGTTTACATGCAAATACAATTTATAATGATGGTGATATAGTCCCAATATATGTGGGATCAATAAATTTTATGTTAGTCTGAGATATTATTAAGTTTACCCATCATGAATCATGATCACTTTATCACACAAATAAGACCAAAATGAGGAGCTTTATTTGCTTTGCATTCACATAAAAAGGGAGTAATTATAGTGTTTGAAACTTTTGCTTAGCCTATCTCCGCCAAGTTGTCATCAATGACGAGAGAAAGGGAAAATTATTGACGTTTTCAAAATTTCAAAGTAGCATACAATTAAAGAACTACATAAGGAACAAGAATTTATTTGTCACCATGCTACATATTCAGTTTGTCAATTCTGTTTCTTTCTTTTTTTCAATTTTTTAGATGGTGGGTTCATTACGTTTGTCAATTATAGTCGGTACCAAACTTTACATCAAAACTTAAGATTGAATTATAGAATTATATTTTTTGAGAATTATAATTATTCCATGGTTCAAAATTGTTTCTGGCTAGCAGATTCTTTTTGGCTAACTTGTTATCATCTCTGGTCCTTTAAACAATAATTAGTCTAATTGTCTTAACGTTTTGAGCCTTAAAATCGATTGTGAGATAAAAAAAAACCAAATCTGCCAAACTCGTCTTATGATTAATGTTTATTAATTTCATTTTGTTTTCTGAACAAGAAAACAAACGGGGTAAAAGTGATTCCTTTTGATTTTTCGTTGACTTAAAATCAGTAACAGAAGAAGTGAACACTACAAATATGAAGTGAAACTTCCCAGTGAATTGGATGTCAATCTTGTGTGTGTGTGTGTTTTTTTTTTATTGATATCTTACCGTATTATTACAATTAAGTTAAAAATGAAATACACTATTATTTATATATATATAAAGTGTGAATATCTAATATATGTTTATTTTCAAATTTTATAAAAGTAACTTTAAATTATAAATGTAACTGAATTTGTGTCTAAAAGAATCTTAATTATAAATTAAACCTATGCATAATTTAATTTTGAAGCTCCGTTTGGACTTTGAGTGGAAAAAAAATCAATATTTCTCCTTTTCTACCAAAATCAAGGAGAAGCAAGTAAATAAGCAAATGGTTTTAGACTGATCACCTCGTCTTTTCAAGCTTTTAAATTCCTTTTCTTTAGTCTAATCAGATCTCAAAATAGAGATCCATAAACAAGAACATAGAGATTGGTTTGGATAGACTTCAAAATTCCTTTTAAAATAGGCATGTTAAAGAATTTTTTATAAGGCTTGTTTGAAACTTTCTTTTATCATATTTAAAAATAATTTTCTTTAAAAAAAAAATCACGTTGCATGTGCTTTGGAATTGGTGACACCCGATTATTACCACTGTCACGCAAACATGGTCTTATTTTTCTAGAAAGTTACATTCGGATATAAATTTTAGAATGAATTATTAATTTAATAATTGCTATTTTTCTATTTTATACTTATTTTTAGAATCTAGTTAGGATTATTATCTTAGATTCTAAAATAAACGGTTACTCCACTAATTTTTTTTTTAAAAAAAATGAAATATACCACTAAGTAAGGTTGATCCAACTTAACATGTAGTCTCAAATTCACAATAAAAATAAAGAGTTTATTGGTAACTTATTTTTAAGTAAATTAAATTTTATTTCACTAGTTGAAAATTTTATTTTTTAAAAATAAACTTATTTGAAATATATAATTTTTAATATTTTTTAAGACATTACTCAAACTAGGATATTTGTTTTTCAGCTATTAGTCAATTTTTTTTTTCTCAATTTTTAACATTTTTTATAATTTCTATTTACAAATTCAATGTCCAATTTACCATCATTTACAAAAAGCAATATTTAGAATTATAAAGGAAAAACATTTTTTTAGATGATTTTATTTAACAAAATCATCAAATTTTATTTCTTCATAATATATAATTATCAAAATAAAATAATTTTTTATATTATCTTATTTTATTTAATAAAAATATTTATAAGTGATGTAATTAAAAAAATATTATCCTAATTTTTAAGCTAATAAATAATTTTAAATAAATTAGAATATAAAACTTTATAATCATTTAAAAATTACCAAATTTTAAATTTTAGTTTAATAATAAATTATATATTTATTTATCATTTTATATTTATCAATTAATTTAACAACTAATTTTATTAAGTATTTTTATTTCAATGACTTAATTATTAACTTTTATCTTTTAACTTTCATTTTTTAATTACTTTTTATACTTTTAACTAATTTATTTTTTAATTTTATCAAACACTTAAAGTGGAATTATATCATAAAATAAATAACTTTATGTTTAGAATTATTCTATGTGAGCGTCTTGATATGCGTGTACACACACACACATATATATATATATATATATATATATATATGTTTTTAATTAATTAATTATTAATTGTTATTCGTATTTTCAAAAATAATTATCATGAGACGATTAAATATTGAATATTTACCAATTCACCCAATATTATATACATATAATGGCAATGCCCCTCAAATATAAGAGTCACTTTCATCTCAATTTCTCACCTTTTCTTTTTCGTCACCTATCTTTTGCTTGCACTGAAAACAATGTAGGTTGGCTTCCTTCGTGATGACATTTCACAAAAGGGTTTGAAAATGCATTATTCTGACAATTTGTCTCTGTAATTATCATATCCTTCCACCCAATAACAACAACGTGTTAATTTTTTCGACCCATCGTTCAACCCAAACCATAAGAGCATGATTCCACCCAAATTACACCCTCACAAATATCTACAACTTGTCCGTTTAACGATTAAGATTCATATATAATTCAATTTTACTTTCCTGGCTCATTAAAAATCATATAAAAGAAACGAGACAAAAGATGAGAACAACTTTCACTGGTAATATATATGATCTTTATATTGTTTTCTTATTTTTAAACAATCATGATATTTATATTCTTGCATAATATTTTTATCTTTTTCTTGTCTTTTCTTTTCTCTTATTACATTACATCATCTATCATAATTTTCTTTCTTAAGATAAATCTAGGTTTTAATTGCTCTTTTAACTTTTTAAAAAATATTCATCAATTTAATTCTTTAAGGATAATTTAGATTTCAATCTAGTCATATACTTTTTTAAATTCCATTTAGCCTTCTACATTATCTCTTTGTATTTAAGTTTATCTTTAACTTTACTCCATCTTTCAGTTTTATTAATTCAAAAGGTGTTTTAATGTTTGATGTAAATATAGATTCAAAAAGAAGATGATTAACCATAGTAACGATAGAGGCTTAAAATTCAGCCAATGATGATTTCGTGGCAGTTGATAGGATTTTAAAATGGAGAAAAAAAGGTAAACACGAGTAGTTACTTAAAAATGACTTACCATATATATATATATATATATAAAGGAAGTTTTAAATGATATTTTGATAGTAAAGCGAAATTGAAGTGTAGAGTAAAAATAAACTAACTTAAAATGTTGATTTTTTTTTTTCGTTAAGTTGAGAGGCCAAACAAAGTTAGAGAAAAAAATTTGAAATAAAAAAATAACTTAAAAGATTAAATTAAATAAAGTTAAAAAAAAATTGAAACATAAGCTAAACATTAAATCAAACAAAATTGGAGAACTAAATCAGAATCTAGATTAAATTTAGAAAGCCTAAATTATAATTCAACCTTTTTCATTCTCTTTTTTTTTTTTTTTCGTAATCTCTATGCTTTTTCTATTTCTTACATCTCAAAAAAGAGAATTGTCCTTTCAGTTCCTTTCCTTTCTTTGATAGCCTTTTTTATCTTCTAATTACATATCCGTGTTGTCTTCTTGCAATTCGCTACTAAGAATGAGTCAGCAAAATGGAAATGGGCCTCAACACACTCAGCACCCACTAGTCTGAGAACCCATTAATTTAAACCACCATTTTGCTCTTTACATGCAGGGAATGACCCTAATTGATTCCCTCACCCCAATCATAATGTATTTTTACACCAATCAATTGATGTGGTTGATCCTAATTTAGTGGTTCTTGAGATGAGAAATGCAATTGAGAAGTGAATCTGAAAGGGAGCCAAAAAGTCTAAGAGACTAAATAGGAAAGAATGAAAGTGACAGCCACAAAGAATGCAGACTTGGAAGCTGAAAATGGTTGGGTAGTGGTGGAGCCTCCTGTGGCCAAATTGGCTATCCACGAAGTAGTTGCTACTGCAGCTTGCTCAACCGATGATCCTGGCCCCGACTCCATTAATGACTTCAAACTGCCAAAAATCCACTCTTTCATTCTCAAATCCCAATAAAGATTCACATCTTAATTTTTTTCATCAAATTTTTAATTTCTCAAAAGTTGAATTTCTCCATTTATCACTTTCTTAAAATAATTATTTCATTCATACACCTACACCTCTCTTTTTGTTCTACAACTTCTACGTCTTGCACCCGAAAAATAGAAAATGCTGAGAACACCAAGAGAGATAAAACAGAGATAACTTTGTTTTGAAAATAAAAACGAAAAAGGGTGGAGAAGTGAAAATGTAAACTTACCTTGGAGAGGAAGAAGGACAAAATGTGAGGGTGTAATCGGCACCGGTGCAAGTAAACGTGCTGGTGGCATCATCAAACGCATAGCTATAAGATTTGGGGCACGCAGACTTGAAAATCTGCGAGTACATTGAAGGCGTACACGCCGACGGTGAGTTAAACTCACCACTGCAACAATACTCAGGTTTCTCAAACGCGTGACACGCGCTCTGACACGCGTCGCCGCCGTCCACCCTCAACTCCGACGGACACCGCCGGTTAAGGTCCGCACCGCAACCCGTGGTGGCGCACGACCCAGAACCGCCACTCGTTTCCACCATCATCGGGAGGTTATAACCGTCGACGAGGCTGACGTCGTAGTAATCCGGTGAACCCGAACCTAGCGTGAACTCAGCGAGAGTCACCGGCGCTGCGCCGTTCCCATTGCAGTTGATTTCGCCGGAGCCGCAATCGCCGGTGGCGCAGGTTCCGTGGCCGGAGTCGTCGAAATCGCAACCGGTTCTGCCCCAGAAGCGCCCCGACCATGCCGGTGGTGCTTGGAAGGTGCGTGTTTCACCCTTTTTGAGCTCGAAGCCGGTGGTTCCTAGGTCAGGTTTTCCTAGAACCCCCGGCCACACTGTGTGCTCACACTTGTTCACGAATGTGAATGTAGTGCTCCAAACACGAACCCCTGCATGAACCCCAACGTTGGGAAACAGAGCAACCCTGGTCAATTTATAAAAACTAAATTTTACAATTATCTCTTTTTATAATTTAAAATTAGAGAAAATTTAAGTAGAGTTCTATTAAGTGTTTTCGTACTATTTTTGAATTAAAATTAAAATTTTACTTTAATAATGTATTACTACTTATAATGCAAATTTTCATTGGGCTAAATTTTCATTGGAAAGAAAGGATGGAAATATAGATAAAGATGAAGCGAAATTGAAAAATATACCTCTGAAAAGGAGGATAATTAAGAGAATGAGGAATCTTTGAGAATAATGTTGGTGATGTGAGAAGGGGGACATAATTCGATTTTGTGTTTGTTTTGTATATGGAGCACTATTGCTAGTAAACTGAAACAGATTGTGAAACTCACTCTCTTTGTGAGTGAAGAGAAGAAGAGAAAAGTTTGAGAGGATTGAGAGAAAGTGAGGGTGGGGGAATCTAAATGCTAGTCATTGCATACATATATATATGTATATATAGAAGGGCCACTCACACTCCTTGGGAACGAGGGAAAAGGGTGTTGTTCCATCTTACCAATCTTCTTTTCTTTTTTCTTTATTATTGTTAGTTTATTTGCTATATTCGGAGGAAGGGAAGAAGTTAAGTTGTTGGTGTCAGTTAAAAAGTCTTCTACTGCTAATATGTGTTATATATAGAATTTCCAATATCCTTTTTTTAATGCGTATTCAAATGCATATCTTAATATATTTTATTAAATATTTTAACTTATTATAAAATATATTTATTAAATATTTTTTATAATTTTCAGATAATAAATATTTTTATTTTTAATTCTAACTTCTTAACATGTGTAATAGTTTAAATGTCATTAGTTAATAGTTTAAGTTTTCAAGTTGTGAAAATTCATTTTGAAAGTTATATGAAATTATTTATTCATATTTTAAAAATAAAAAATTCAATCAATTAAAATTTTGTTTATATTTTAAATCACCATAACTTAGTTTAAATTTGTTTATATTTAAGACCATAAATAGTATACAAGTGTAACTTGACATAAAATCAAGTATTTATTAATATTTTGATATTTGTACATTTCAACAAAATCATCTATAATTTTCATAAGAAAGCAAATTATTTATACAATGACTAAATTTTTACTTTTAATTCTTTGTAAGCGTTAAGTATTTTAATTCTTAAAATATTACATTACTCTCTAACTTTCATATTGGTCGAGTATTTTAGTTCTTAGAGTTAGATGTAATTAGTAAACAATAACATAATTCTGAGTGACATGTTTGAAAAGTAATTTAACAAATACAGCATTGTTTCTCATATTTATATGAGTAAATGGTTAAATAATAGTTATTATAACTTTTTTTTTCATAAATAACCCTAATTTTTCCCCCAAATTTTACTTGATACTTAAATTCAAGTGTTATTAACTATGCAACTCTTAATGTTAATAATCTATTTTGTAAATCCGACTGCAGTAGAGATACAATACTCAAGATGACTAATAGTGAAGCAATTAATATTTAACACATAGGTAACTCATTCTTCTCTCACTCACATCTTCAATGCCTTTATTTCAACATGATCTTTTCTATGTTCAAAATATTTAGAAGAAATTACAGTGTTCCTTAGTTTGTTTTTGACAACTATGTTTATTTTGAATTTAATGCTTGTTAAATTAAAAAGACAAATTAAATTATTCTTATAAGAAAACTTAGAAATGAAGTCAAAGTATATAATAATATTAACTTATCTAAACTTCTTTTTTCTTTTCCTACTTATTGTAATATTCCTCAATTGTATCACAGTACTTCTGCTTGTAATTTTAATCCCTACTTTCCACTTAGCATACTCGCTTATACCCATGCAAATTCAAATATTGCATTATGTAATATTCATGTTGATTATAATAAAATTTTTATGTCTACAAGGTTAGTTGCTTTAGAAAAATGCATTAGATTCTCTTTTCTATTTCAATATATATCAAATCATTGAAATTAATATATTTTGATATTTAAGGTCCTTCCCTTTTCTAATAGCGATCAATATTATTTATATTCATTAATATTTATTTTAAATACACCTGTATTTATTTGTACAATAAATATTATAATTTTTTTTATTTCATCCACTTTGAGAATACTCTTCAAATCAACTTGATCATAAAAAATACATTAGCTATAATTAATCTCTTAAAACTCAGGACATTATTCATCGTTTTACTTGCCTTTATACTTATTAGAAAATGGATATGTCAAATGCAAATATAGACAAATAACTCAAATGAGACTTAATCTTTTAACAAATGCAACATTATTTTAATTATAATATAACTAGCTTAATGTTGATTTGACTATGAACATATTAGTCAATTTTATTCTAGCAAGTGTAATCCAATCAATCACACCTCAGCCACTATACAACAACCTATACTTCATCTCAAATTAAGACTCAAGCTACTGCCTAATAAACAAACTAATACCAAGGAGTCAAAAGAAGCAAATAACATAACATTAACTGCAAGTTTAAGCTCATCTTCATTACTGTCACCAAGAAACCTCCAATAAAGAAGTTAAAGATCAAAACTTTGAACTCAAGTTATAATTGTCTCAATAAGCTCAAAGCCATCAAAACCCCTTCTTCTCCTTCCTCTCTCAAATGTCCCAATTCTCTTACATTTGAAAATTCCTAATCCCCAATTCTCACCAATTCACTGCAATCCAATTCCATAACCATGTCTCGCTATTCTCCAACCAAATTCGATCCTCGTAGGGTGGTGTTGACATGAGGCAAGGAATTATGTTATGTTGTAAAGAGAGATTATGTGACCAATTGTTTGATGTTGAACAAAATTGAGTCTAATTAGAAAGAAAGGAAGATGAAGAATTCTATTGCCAATGGTGGAGTTCAGGTTAGGAGAGAGGAGGAGCATGGCTGGCAATCGCAGATTGCAATGGCCAAGGAGAGACTAAGAAGGAAAAAGATCTTACAATTATTATAAAAATTGGACGATAGCTTAACAAGAGAATGGGATTTATTTAATTAAAAAAATATTGAGACTAATTTATTTATTTTTGTAATTTAATCTTAATTTTTTATAATTTATTGTTTTTTATTTAAAATAATATAATATTTATAATGAATAATTACAATATTTATTCTATTTTATATTTATAAATTTCATTTATTTTTGTAAATCTCAATCAATTCAAATTAAATTTAATAGATTCATCAAAAGAAAAAAAATATTTTAGTAACCTACAATTTTTTTATATAAAAATTTCATACAAAATCACGAAATATAAAATTTAAATGTCACCAATATTTATTTATTTATTTCATGTATTTATGTTCATTTAAAAATTTACAACCGCATGAAGGGGAAAAAATTTATATTATTAATTGGTTCATTACAATTTAGAGTATTCGTTATTCATTTCATCATACTAATTTGAATTTAAGTAAAAATAAAGACTAAATTTAAAATTTACACTTTTAACTGTCTAAGCTTAAGATTTTACTTAAGGGATTGTCACTCGAATCAATTTTGATTAGTAAATACTATTTTGTATCATATTATAATATATTTATATTTATATTATTTATTTTAAAATCTATATTAATTTAAATTTCATAGTTCTTTAATTTTAAAACAGAATTATATACAATATTAAAATAACTCGAATTGATGCAATATTATTGAATAAATTATTAAATTTTGATAAAATCGAATTCAAATAATTAATCTAACCAAAGTTTTGTGTAGGTAGAGACAAAGTTTTCTTATCCCACAAATACTCGTCATAAAGTGCAATGAACCAACACTTTAATTTGAGCTAGAGAGATTACAAATCAATAAAATAAAAAGGATCTATTTCTTTTTCGGTTTCTCTTTCTCAAACTTTTTTTTTCTTTTAAATCACTTATAAATTTTTTGTATTTGTTTTTAATAAAAAAAAATTAAAGATAACTTTTATAGTGTTCAATAAATTAAAATTTTATTCTATATTTTTCTCACATGAAACAGTTATTACCATAATAAAGTTAGTAATTCATTTTAAAAAATACATATTTTTTAATTTTTAGGATATTAAGAAAATTACATTTAATAATTTAAAAAGTATATATAATTGTGTATAAAAAATAAAATGTAAACTTAGTACCCCAAGTGTTGACATATAACTGAATGAGAGGACGGCATAAAAGGCACCACGTGTTGATCACACCAGATTTCATGTGCTGCGGCCATGCACAATAAAGATCGTCTACGTGTCTGTGGATGGCACCATAGACCATATATTGAAGTAAATTTGAAAAAAAAAAATTAAAGGAAAATTATTCATTAATAATATTTATTTTATTTTATTTTTGTGTGTGTAACGTAGATAGAGGTAGGAATGTCATTTAAGGGAGACAGAATATCATACCAGATACGGTAAGTTAAATAAGTTTTAAATTGATTTATTATCATTTATAAGTATTAATGGATATTAGTAAATATTTATTAAAATTAATTTTTTAGATAATATAATTTAAATTAAATTATAATTAAAAATAAAATAGTATAATATTTTGATATAAAAAATAAACATACTTTTAAAAATAGTTTTAATTAGAAACGACATATTTTTAATAGAATCAATAGTATTATTGAAATCATTATATTTTGGGAATAATACTTATCTTTATAATCTAATAAAAATTATTTAATTGAAATAAAAAAATACTATCAATCAAAAAGGGACTTCTTAGTTTTATTAATATCAATCTAATTGATTAAAATTATGTTATAAGAATATTAGTTATTTTCATACAATAACCATAAAAAAAATAAAGCTCTTAAAAATAATAATAGAGATTGGAACATGATCCAAAGATTATTAAAATATGGTGATTAATTATTTTAAATATTTATATATTGACTCTTCTTTTCTTTTCAGTGCGTTGGTTAGTTTTTTTTATTTATAAAATATTGATTTTGATAGCATAGATAACATCTTTTCTCTTAAAAAGTTAAGGTTATTTTATTCAGCATTTATAATTTTAAATTTTCTGGGTTTTATAATTTATATGTATTATTCTTCAAGTTTTGGATATTTTACATCCTTTATTTTTTTTAAATTTGTTAATGAGGCTTTTAATAATATGTATGAAATAAAAAAAATGCGAATCAAAATATTCTTATCCTTATTCCCAAATTTAAATAAACTTAAGTATTTAGTTAATTAGGTCCATGATTGTAAAATTATAAATAAAATTTTAATTGATAGATTAAAAGATGATTTTTTATATTTATTTTTTAAACTAGTAGATAGAGCATTAACAATGTTATTATCCT